CGGGTTGTTTTTTCTTTAATTAAATGGGGTCATTGGCTAAGCTGGTTTCCCAAGGGCTGTCAGCGGAGAGATGTAAGGCTCTCTGAGCTCATTCAGCCTTTTCCCGGCGGCCGCCGCCCGCAACATCTTTATTCTCTCCGAAGGTTCCCACTTCCAGACAGCGCACAGCACACATCCGCGTGCGCCTGTGGCTGGGGACGGGCTGACGTGGGGTGAATGGTGCTGTTGTGTGCACACGAAAAAATGTTCTCTAAATGGCCCAGCTTACTGTTACGTCAAGTGTTAACGAGAGTCAGTTTCTCTTGGCTTTGGGATGGTCGGACTCGATTCCCTCTGCTTGCCCGTCTCCTGTGCCACGGCCCGTCTTGGGAGTCGAATACAAGTCGCTAACGACAGTCATATTCACCAGTCCCTTCCTGTTGGGGTAAACAAATCGCACGGAAGACGCGACCTGTGCCTTTCCCTGGAAGTGGTGAGAATCCGCAGAGCTCCGGGCCCAGGCGATGCTGATGTTTGCAGGCGACTCGCGTGAGCAGCAGAATGCACAACGGCTGACACTTGGCGAAGTCATGGTGTGTCCCTGGGCGGTCCCTGTCACGCAGACCCTGCGTGCTGCCGTACCCATAGCTGGCTGCCCCCCTCCCCAGCGACACGCGCCTGTGCGGAGTGACTGCTGCCGAGGGGAAAGCGTAGCGACTGAGTTGTCTGTGCCCTCCCACAGGCAGGAACTCAGATCCGTCCTCTCAGCTGCTGGCACACTGGTGGGAGTTTCCTTGTCTTTAAGACTCTGCTCTCTTTCAATCTGAAACCGATTCAGAAGCTCATGGGAATGAAGAGAGGAGAAACACACCGAGTGGACATAGCGTGTGATGACGTAGTTTCTTTTTTACTTGGAAATAACTTGCCTATGAACTGAACCAACTTGATAATTGATGATACCGTACTACTGAAACCAGCACACGCATAGCCTGTAAGGGGATTGTGTAGAGAGAGCTGGTTTTCAGTCAGAACTGGTTTTGAAGCCTGTGGTCTGACAAGCTGCTTCCCAAAGCAGCAAGAATAAGACAGAAAGTTAAGCTTACCTTTTTGCACTGGCACTGTTTCGTGTTGCACCCCTCAGCTGAATCCTGCTGCTCACTCAGGACAGTGTACAGAAGCCGCTGGACACTTCCATGTGCCTGGTTTCTCAGATGGTCAGAAATCCACCAAAAATACCAGGGCATATCGTCGATTGGCGTGTGCTCTGAAAGACTTGCTGAAATTTGTGTGAAGTCACTGACTGCTAATGCAGCTTCTAGAAGTTCTGTTCTCCAAATCCCTTATTCTGTTTCCCTACCCGTGCCCTCTAAGAGCTGCCACAAGATTACTGCAGTGGCGGATAACTCCATCCATCTTCCCTTCCAGTGTGTGTTACGTTCCTGGGAAGGTTCTACCAGAGTCTAAAGGACAATGATGCTGAGTTCACACCTGCCAGTATTGAAAAGGAGCTCTTGAAATCCTGCAGAGAAGCAAAAGGCAAAGAGAACCGCCTGGTAAGTGGTAGTACTCAATGATACTTGCATCTTGAGGGAATAAGTTGTAAAATACTTGGCTAACAAGGGGAAACTAGTGCTTCTGAGTTCATACGATATGGCTTCCAAGGGGCTCTTCTTCCTAGCTCTGTGGCCGCAATTAGCCCTCTATTTTTTCATAAGACTAGACTTGAGGAGTATGATCTCTTCACCTAAAAAAAAAAATCTGTCAACAGACTGGCTGACTCAGTTACTGAAGTGCTGAGGATTACATGGTTTTTATTTGCTGTAGGACTTCCTTGTCCCTTAAACTGTATCCGGGGTGGTATATAAGCTGTTAAAATATTTATGCTCTTCAGCTGTTTAGCTGAAAACTAAATAAAGGGAAACCAAATTGCCCTAACTGAAAACAGAAGGCAATCCCCGAAAGAAGAGCCCCAAGGAAAAGGCCCTGAACTCTCCTAAGAAGAGAACTAGAGACACCAAAAGAAATGCAGAGGGGGAACACTTCAGAGTCTTTCTCCTTGAATGAAGAAGACTTTATTCTTAATCCAATTGAATTTTTTTTAAAGTTGAGAAATAACCACCCTCAACAGCCGCAAAGCAGTATGATGGGAAACATCCACTCAATACCCTAGGCTCAGGGTTAGGCTTCCTTTTGTCTGTCTGTAGCGGTCACTTGGAAAGGTTCTGTAACAATAAACATCTAGGAGAGAAGACAGACAGAAAACCCTCCTTTCAGAAGCTTCTTTCCATGTGTCGCCACCTCATTCTTTTCTTCCCTCTAGTGCTATTATGTTGGGGCCACAAGTGATGCCGCCACCAAAATCATTAACGAGGTATCAAAGCCCATGAGTCATCACATCCCCGTGGAAAAGATCTGTGAGAAACTAAAGAAGAAAGACAGTCAGATCTGCGAATTAAAATACGGTGAGTTGCCAGCACAAAGGAAAATGCCCGTGCTTTTCTGGGGTACGGATCGTTTGGGGTAAAACAGCATACTAAGACTACTCAGTCCTAAGTTCTGTAACAGGATCGCTAGCCTAATGAGGTTTTACAACCTGGGTTGTTCTCCATGAACACCCTAGAGAGCTTTACGGAGATGCTCAGGTAAGATTGTTGGCTGCTAACCCCTTCCAGCCTCTGCAGCACCACTGGTCTGCCTTGAAATAAGTAACTCCCGGGCATATCAGCACTACTGTGCCTAAACCACTATTTGGAATATCGTGTTTAGAAGAACGTGCAGTAAAGCTCATCCTGGGGGGCAGCCAGGGGTGTCCCGTGGCCTGGGATGATGTCTCTGGTTCGAGCCCTTAGCTAAGCTCCGTAGTGCCAGCTGCTCTTGGGTTTGCCAGTAGCAGGTTGCTAAACACTTCTTTCTCGCCTCCGCTGGTGTCTGCTCCGAGCATTTGGCACGCTTTTCTTACCACCTGCCTTGACCTCTCGCGTTCCTAGATGACCTACTCTTCCTGAAAAAGACTAATGTGAAGATCAGTCTTGGAAATGCCTCCTTCTGACTGCTTTCCTATTATCTCTGCCCTTGCGTTCCCTGGAGACACCTCTTGGATTGTGGGTCTTTATGCTTCTCATTTCTGGTACTAATGTCCTGTTGCTTCCTAACAAGGTGGTTGTTGGTGTCGCTCACTTATCTTTCCTCTGAAATCACTTTGCTACCTTTCGTTTACCCAGTGGAAGAGAGAATTAAAGCACTGCTGCTCATATAATAAAGGGGGTTTCAGGGCTATTGTGGAGCTCCTTCATCTAAGCTGCAACCAAACCTTCCGGCTTCTAGCAATGAATCCCGGTGCCAAAAGCCATAGCTGCGGTCAAAAGCCCAGCCTGGACGTTCCTTCCGCACCCCGGGTGTCTGCAAGCAGCAAGAGGCACAGAGCCCAGAATTCTAATAGATGCAAATCACTGTCTTAATCTGTTATCAACTTCGTGAGTCTTCAGTTTCAGAGAAGCTAAGAAAAAGGAGACTAAACTGTTCCCATGACCAACAGCCATCTTCAAGTATGACATCAGTCAAAACTGACTCTAATGGCTACATAGCACACAAGAATTCTTTAGTTCTTGCACCACCAGAAGGGTCTGTCTCCCAAAACAATCCAATGGTTGAGTTAATACCAGAGGAGCTCCTCCTGCTTTACCTTGAGAAGTGCAGCACATAAAGGTTTTAACAGGCTTTTTGGCAGAGTAGCAGGTGTGCAGTGACGGAAACTTCTTGCAATGAAAAGGGATGTTTGTTGTTTAATTGTTGGGTTTTTGTTGTCCATCACCGCCAACACATCTTCACTTATGTTCTGCAGTGTGGTCTACGGTGTTGGATAAAGAAGTCATGAGTTTAAGTAAAGTAAGAGAAAAGCAAATCAGAATTAGAGACCAATTCTCAGACAATGGGAAAACTGTCACTCTTACTTACTGTAAGAAAGATTGCATCAATGGCCTCCTGCAATGCCTGCACTACCTGAGGCTTCTTCTCTTTAAATTTCTCCAGGATTGTTGGAACAACCTATGCAAAAAAGAGAAAAGAAACAAACAAAAAACTAAATCCACTCTTCACTAATGTAACTGGAAAGCCTGACAGCCTGCTGCCTGGTATTTTGCAGAGAAACAAATAATGCAAACATCACTGCTGCCCCCTCCAGGGATACACAAGAGCAGTACGAACTAGTTTATTCTGGCTGATATCCAATATTAAATTAATTCCAGTCACTCTATTAACAGTATGTATTTTTGAAAACTTTCATAGCAAAGCTAAGCAAAAGGCAGATATACAAGTTCACATAATTACAAATGAATACTCTGGCTCTACTGGTCGGGAACACAGAGTAATAGAATGGAATTAAACAATTCCACAGCAGAGTGCTGTGCTCTTGTACTGTAAGAATTCAAGAAGGTATACAAATTGTCCCCTCTTTCCCAGCTTCCTGACAGCACTCAGCATGGCTCATTAAGCTGCCCTTATCTGACCCACAGCTGACAAGACCATGGTTCTAAAGCAACCTGAATCCTTCCCGGGACAGTATATTTTGGATTTATCACCTTGAAAAAGCACACCTGACACTAAACTATGTCATACTGGAATTCCATAGCAATTTACACCCAATCTAGATGCTCAGTCAGTCACTGCTGAAAAATAAAATAAACAAAAAAATAAAATTAAGAAAAAAAAGAAAATCAGGAGAGATTCTCATGCGCCAGTAATACTAGCAGCTCCATTTAAGTGTGGTCTCTGTAATATTAAGAACTTGAGTCAGTGAGCCAGAGACATGCAGAGCTTTTAGCTGTTGAAAGCAGGCTACTTTCAAGATTTTAATAAACATAACACAGTTCATGGTTTGGAAGAATTCTGATGCCTTACAGAAGTTATAAGCTCTTGCATAATACAAAATAGATTTTCCACAGATAATGCTTTCTACTCAGAAGCTGACTATGAAATCTTAACCCCTTGTGACACAGAGTGACCTAGGCTCAGCTGCTGTCTTTGCTGGGCCACAACTTGCTAATTCCCTAGATCACAAAGACTTCAGCACTAAAAAAACTGCAACTAATACAGAATGGCACCATAGAGATCTCATATGTGCTAGAAACCCATGAACCCTACAGAGAACAAAGTCATAGGAAGAAGCTGACAGCTAGAATTAATATTTTTTTAACATGGAGAGCGGGCCCTGGATTACTATGGGCTGTATGACGAGCGCGGCCGCCCGTACAGTTACCCCATCGTGGCTGAGGAAGACCTGATGCCGGAGGATGATCAGAGAGCAACCCGCAACCTCTTCATCGGCAACCTGGACCACAACGTCTCGGAGGTGGAGCTGAGACGCGCCTTTGAGAAGTACGGCATCATCGAAGAAGTGGTGATCAAGCGCCCTGCGCGGGGTCAAGGTGGGGCTTATGCTTTCCTCAAGTTCCAAAACTTGGACATGGCGCATCGGGCCAAGGTCGCCATGTCCGGCCGCGTTGTCGGCAGGAACCCTATCAAAATTGGCTATGGGAAAGCCAACCCTACAACCAGGCTGTGGGTGGGTGGTCTGGGTCCGAGCACTTCCTTGGCTGCCCTGGCGAGGGAGTTCGACCGCTTCGGCAGCATCAGGACTATTGACTACGTGAAGGGGGACAGCTTTGCTTACATCCAGTATGAAAGCTTGGATGCTGCACAGGCTGCCTGCGCCCAGATGAGGGGCTTTCCTTTGGGCGGACCGGAGAGGAGACTCCGAGTGGATTTTGCCAAAGCAGAAGAGACGAGATACCCGCAGCAGTACCAGCCTGCACCACTCCCCGTGCACTACGAACTGCTAGCTGATGGGTACAGCAGACACAGAAGCCTAGAGCAAGACTTGAGGGTGCGAGATAGGACTCCTCCACATCTCCTGTACTCGGACAGAGACAGGAGCTTTGTAGAGGCAGACTGGGCCAGCCCTGCCAAAAACGCTGAACGCAGAAACAACTTGGAAAGCTACAGCCGGTCGGTGCGTAGCCGGAGCGGAGAGCGCTGGGGCAGCGACAGCGATCGCAACGTACCCAAGCCGTGGGAAGAGAGGCGGAAACGCCGGAGTCTTTCCAGTGACCGCGGGAGGACTACGCACTCGCCTTACGAGGACAGAAGCAGGACAAAGGCCAGTGGGCCAGCTTCAGACCGCAGCCCAGACCGGGCTCGCAAGGAGAATCACACTACAGAATCCGGAGCCGAGAAAGAGCAGAGCAACTCCCTCCAGAACAATCGTCACGCGACTGAGGAGAAACCCCATCGTGAGGCATCCGATGCTCCCCAGCCTAAAAAAAGGGACAGCGAACGCAATCATCGAACTGGTGAATCGGAATCAAAAACTCATGAGGAGCCAAAATCTGAGACCAAAAAGCTAAAGAATTTGTCGGAATATGCTCAGACGCTGCAGCTTGCTTGGAATGGGCTTCTTGTGCTAAAAAACAGCTGCTTCCCCACCTCTATGCACATCCTGGAGGGAGACCTCGGTGTCATCAACGGACTCCTTAAAGACCATTCGTCCGGCGGGAAGTTAACGCAGCTCAAAATCGCTCAGAGACTTCGGCTCGACCAGCCCAAGCTGGATGAAGTAACTCGCCGCATCAAACAAGGCAGCCCCAACGGCTACGCTGTGCTCCTGGCGACCCAATCCGCCCCGGCAGGGGCAGGGGCTGAGGGGACCTTCCCTGCTGTGGAGCCTGGCTTGCAGCGACGGCTTCTCAGGAACCTGGTCTCCTACTTGAAACAGAAGCAGGCTGCTGGGGTTATCAGCCTGCCCGTGGGAGGGGCGAAGGGCAGAGACAGCACAGGCATGCTTTACGCCTTCCCTCCGTGTGAATTCTCTCAGCAGTACCTCCAGTCAGCACTAAGGACATTGGGAAAGTTAGAAGAAGAGCATATGGTGATAGTTATAGTCAAAGACACTGCCTAGCCCACACTGTCTTTTCAGATTCCATGTTTTCTTTGTGTGTCACACAACCCAGTTGTTTTTAAGGCCGATCATTTTGGTGGAGGCTCAAAAAACCTCAACCAAAGTGGTAAGATTTTTAGTTTCTAATTAATTTTAATACCATTTAAATAGAGCCCATTTTATTCATTTTTAATATGTGACACTGTCTGCTGTTGTTCTGTATTTTTATTTTTTAACTGTATGAAAAGTTGTCAGTAAAGCCTTGTTCACTGATGGATTTCTAAACTTGTGCGGTATCCTAGTTTTTACGGCCCAGGGAGGGCTGGTTCCCTGCGCTGTCAGGCACTGGGAGGTGATGGTCCCAGCCAATTTCAGTTTCTCAGACCCCAGCCTCCTGCACCTCCTCTGTCTCTTTATGTGTGTCCTGCAAGGTGGGAGGGGGAAGGGGGGTTCTTTGTGCTGTATGAGAGACTGAAAGGTTGGTTCTGTATCTTTCTCTTCTTTTTTTTGTCCTGTTTGCTTTTTATTTCCTAAATTTGAGTCTGGATGCATTCCTGTTGATTGTCTGTGCGAGGATGGAAGCATCCCAGGAAGCCGGCTACCAAGGAAGCAAACCCTGATTGAGAATCAAAGTGTTTTTTATACACAACAAAAAAAATTGCAGTTAATACTTGGCGAAAAGTTTGCTACTAAGGAGTCAACTCTCGTGTTCAGTTCTGTGAGGTTTGTGAGCACCCGCTACGTGTCTCAGTCAGCTAGAAGTTCCTGGGCAAAACAAAAATGAGGCTTGACATTCCTGGTTTTATAAAAGGAAAAAAAAAAACAAGCAGGAGAAAAAAAAATCGTTGAAGGGGGAACCCTCTTGGGCCTGTATTAGATGTAGACAAGCAAATAACGGGCACAAAGGTTTTTGGTGAACTGCAGGTGCCCCTTTGCGGAGTCAATCGTGTTGCACTATCTGAAATCCTTTATTGAAAGACAAACGGCAAAATTTTTTTTGCTAAAGTTGAAACTTGTTTGCAGGCTTACGAAAAAGGAGACAAACATGTCTGGCTGTCTGAAAAACGTGTTTATGTTACCGCAAATAACCTGTCTATGACTGTAGAAAACTCTGGAGA